AAGGGTGCAAACATGTTCAAATACACCATTATCAACAGTTCATCATAAAACTCTCCCTCATCTAACAGAGTACATTTTTTCATTTGTAAGTGTTTGATCCTTGATGTATAGTGTCTCCAGGCCATTGATTCGACTCCACAACGATCCAAAAACTACATAAAGCTTTTAATCAGACCATAATCCTACTAACAATAAAGCCACACTAAGCAAGGATAGATCTCTTGCCAGTACGGAACATAGGTAAAGTCAACTATTATGACTTTTTCTTTGATAAAATCACTCATATTACTTTATTGATGACCTTGATGCATTTTACATGGCACATAGGAATACAAAATGCTAGCCAATTTTAAAATTCAATAACAAAGTGTCTGACTCCAGTATTGATAAACACACGAGCTCTCACTAACCGTATTTTGCGAAAAGCTAAGCAAGAGAACCACAACATTTGGCAACACCCCACAAAAAAACTGAGGCCAAATGAATAACCACCAAAATTGCAACAGAGAACTTTGATTGCCTTTGTAGAGAAAGGAGTATGCACATGATAACCACATATGGAGAGAGAATGTGATTTTCATTGTGAGAATATTGAATAAACTCTTCCCACGGGTAACGATGGGGGGCTAGAAATGTTATGACCAAGATAAACAATGTGTGACATCCAGAATTCTATATTTTCATCCATTGTTAAATTAATGTCAGTAATGGTATAATGTATCTGAGTAGACGGATGAAGAAGAAAGAATATGGGAGCCCAAGCAAAAAAAATTTATAAGAACGAGAAATTAACCCAATTACTCAGGATAAGAGCACCAAGCAAAAAAGACCCGAAATCATTTAAGATATAAATTTTACAATAGCAACAAGCAAGAGAACTTACAGTACATAGATGATTTAGATTTCCCTTTCATTGTAAGGGTTTCAGCATCTCATTCTAAATATTGCCATATTGTACAAAGATTCTTATACTTTCATTCTGACAACTAAAATAGTACTATAGCACAGACGTATGGCATGCGAATTGAAACTTTATTCGTGAAATGCTTCGTTAGAAGTTTTGTTGCTTCCGACACTTATTTACCTCTATCATGAAGTCTGCCAAAACTATCCTCAGGAATTAAAATGCATAATGGATTAGACACCCGCATCACTAACAATTCCCATAGTAGATAAATTGAATAATCTTCAAATGCCCTATAGGAGAATTAAGTCTACATAGATAAGATATACATTAAAAAGAAGGAAGTCTAAAGAATAGTTACAGATATACATAGTTTTGGCGTTGGAATGGCATCGAATAAGCAGTGGAACTTTCCAGTTCCAGCTCCATGACATCCTTAAGTCATCTCGCCATCACCTTTTTGCGTGGGCGGCTAAAGGTACTTCTAACTCGGCTCGGGCCATTCGAGAACTCAAGGATGCCATTACTGCTCTCAGGGCGGCTCATCCAATTGATTGGCAAGCAATCGGAACGCTAGAACAGCAACTTTCTGAGGCGTATCTACAGGAAGAGATATATTGGCAGCAAAAATCTCGGGAGTTCTGGCTGAACAAAGGGGATTCCAACACTCACTTCTTTCACCTTACTACGTTGCAGAAGCGGAGGCACAACCGAATTTTGGTCTTGAGGGATGAGAACGGAGTACCTCATTCTGATGAACCTACAAAAGGATTAATTTATGTTCAGTATTTTCAACATCTTTTCACCTCTGAATGTTTGGAAGTGGTTGCTTTTGTGAATTTTCTAGGACTGCCCCAGCTGGTAACTGACTCTATGAATGCCTTCTTGACTGCTCCGGTGTCGAAGGAAGACGTTCGCGCAGCTGTGTTCAGCATCGGTGGGTACCAAGCTCCCGGTTCTGACGGGTTTACAGGTATCTTCTTCCAATCCTTTTGGGATTTAGTAGGAGATTCGGTAGCTGCTGCTGTGCTGGAATTTTCCATACTAGTCACCTTCTTCCTAATTTCAATCATACTTGGATTTCCTTGCTCCCGAAAGTTCCCAATGCAGAATCTATGCGTCAAATGCGCCCTATTGGTTTATGTCAAGTTTCGTACAAGGTAATTTCAAAGATTTTAACAACTAGGTTGGGTGAGATCCTTCCTCGGGTTGTAAGCCCTTTTCAAAATGGTTTTGTCAAGGGCAGGTTAATCTCCGATAGTATCCTATTAGGCCAAGAGGTCTTGCATTTCTTAAAAACCAAAACTCAAGGGCGTGAGAAATGGATGGCCCTCAAGTTAGACATGGAGAAGGCTTACGATAGGGTCGAGTGGGAATTTTTATTTGCTGTTATGCAAAGCTTAGGATTCTGTGATCAATGGTTGACCAGGTTTCATGAATGTGTTACTTCAGTTTCCTTTTCAGTTTTAATTAATGGCTCCCCTCACGGTTATTTTCGCCCGGAACGTGGAATACGTCAAGGTGACCCCCTTTCCCCTTTGCTATTTGCCCTCTATACTGAAGGTTTCTCTTCGTTCCTCTCTCAGGCGGTTCAATCTCAGTTTATCCATGGTCTTCGCATTCATAGACGGTGCCCGGTGATGTCTCACTTGTTTTTTGCAGATGACACTTACCTTTTTATCCGTGCTTCACTTCCTGAATGTCATAATCTTCTTAGTTTATTTACATCTTATCAACAGGTAAGTGGGCAAAAAATAAACCTCCAGAAGTCCTCTGTTACTTTCAGTAGTAATGTCTTGCCGTCAGAAGCTGCTGCCATAATTTCTCTTCTTGGAGTCTCGGCTGCCGGCCCCCAAGATCGCTATCTTGGCTTGCCTTCGAGAATAGCTAGGTCAAAACAAGAAACTTTTCAGTTCATTGAGGATAAATTGGTGACCAGATTGCAGCAATGGAAATCCAAAGCTCTCTCTCTAGCAGCTAAGGAAGTCTTACTCAAATCTGTTGTTACAGCTCTTCCCAACTATGCTATGCTCAGCTTTCGTCTACCGTCCACTCAATGTAGGCGGTTGAATGGACATCTAGCCAGATTTTGGTGGGCCCAACAAGATCTCAATGAAGGAATGAAATGGACGTCATGGAGGTCACTCTGTCGGCCGAAACTCCAGGGCGGGCTTGGTTTTCGAGACATGGACAGCAACAACAAAGCACTACTAGCTAAACAAGCGTGGCGTATTTTGAAATTTCCTGATAGTACCCTGGCTGTTATGTATAAGGGTAAATACTTCCCTCATTCTTCCTTCTTGCAGGCTACTCCGGGAGCTTGGCCTTCGTGGGCATGGAAGGGGATACTAGAAGGACGTGAGTTGCTTATGAAAGGGATGCGCTAGCTCATTGGCTCAGGAATGTTGGTTAACATAACCAATGACATATGGCTGCCCACCTCTCCTCCATGTCGACCCAAGCTGCTGCCCCAGGCTGTCCTTCAGTCTACCCAAGTGTCTTCTCTAGTTGATAATTCTGCAGGTAAATGGAAGCTGGATCTACTAAAAGATCTCTTTGATGATGGGACAGTTAAGCTGATTTGTTCCATTCCGCTCCCCTCCATGTCGATGCCTGACAGGTTAGTATGGCACTATGAATCCTCCGGTGAGTACTCTGTCAAATCTGGATATCACATTGCCGCGACAGTATTTATACAAGATTTTTCTACAATTCATATTCTCTTTGATGCCAAAACATGGATGTTTCTTTGGTCAATTCCGGTTCCCCCTAAGTTGAAATTTTTCTTATGGAGATTGATCAAAGGATTCCTCCCAGTAAAGGATGTTCTAAGGGATAAAGAGATTTTAGATGCTGATGATGCGGACCTGTTACTGTGCCCTTCTTGCTCCTCGCCTGTGGAAACCATTCACCATTGTTTCCTGGAATGTCGTCCAGGTCTAGAGTTGTGGGAGCTAGCTGGGTTTTTCCATTTATTTAATATTGTGAGGTCTATGCATATTGCTATTGGGTGGCGGTATCTTTTCTTTAGTGTAGGTTTAGACAAACTCACATTAGCTCGTCTGGTCTTTTTGTATTGGATAATTTGGAAAGGACTCTGTTCTGCCGCCTATGACTTGACCTATTTGCTGCCGAGTACTCTGTTGCGCCAGTTTGATAACCAAGTTGTGGAATGGGAGACTGCACAGGGCAATCGTTCAGGCCCTTCTCGGATTGGAGGACACACCACTTTATCTCATCCTGAGCACGCGTCCGTTCCTCCTTCTATTCCTGCCCAATCGACCCTGGTTCATTTTGATGGTGCCACCAAGGCTTCTGTTGGGGGATCGGTTGGATTCGTGGGGTTTGCACACCACCATACTGTCAACTTTGCGTTTGGCCGTTTCTACGCGGAAGTTTTTGATCCCTTTCTTCTTGAGCTAATGGCGTTGCGAGATGCCATGTTGTGGTGTATTAATCATTCAGTATCTAATGTCTTGTTTTGTGGTGATTCGCAGATCCTCATCCGAATGGTCATGGAGAAGGACTCGAATCACGTTTTGGGAGGTGCCCTTCTGAAGGAAGTTCAGGTTCTGCGAGCATCTTTCCGAAGTGTTTCGTTTCATTTCGCCTCGCATAGGTATAATAGGGCCGCCCATATCGTGGCAAAGCAAGCCCTCTTATCGTTGGTTCAGCATCTGGTTGACCAACGTTCCCTTCTTCTCTCTTGTGATTTAGCCTGTTTGGCCCTGTATATTCGTATCTTGCTATTCCTTCCGGAATATCTATGGCCAAAAAAAGAATAGTTACAGGAAATGTTAGGTGAAGAAGAGCAGTCTGATTGCTGCCAAATTTAGTGAAAAGGAGTCCACCTGGATGTGATTTCAAAACAAATGCTAGAAGGTGAATAACACTTTTAAAACCAAGCAAAAAAATTCCCCCGGCAATAATGGAATTACCCAAGTAGAAGTTACACAAAAGAGAAAGTTATATTCCTCCTTAACTAAGAAATGCACATATAAGGTCATGGTCAAAAATCAAAATTATGCTTATCTTTTCTATTTCAGTGAATTTACAAACAAAAGATTCATTAAAGACAAAAGAGAAGCTATGCATGCTAAGCAAAGCCGAACGGAAGAAGGGCCTTTCCCGCTTGCCTCACAAAGTATCTGCGAACACCAGTCCTGCCCGTCCAGTCTCCTCTTCCTGTTCTCCTCTGCAGCCAGCGACCCGACGAATCGTCGACCATAATAGAGCAGGGACGGGTTCCTGGTCTAAGATCCCAACGGGGAGGTTCTGTTTTGGTTCTATTCTTATCGTCGAAGACCAAAGACGAGTTGGTTCTCATGGACGCTTCCGGCAAGTGCCTCCTCACCCTCCGACTCAAGATTTTGACAAAAGATTATCTCGGTGGATTCAATTTTGGTTTGTGATTTGAGGTCTGTGAGTTTCTCGCAGGTGAAGTGGAAGACTCGCTCCTTCAGTGGCGTCCGGGCAAAATCGTCTTTGTCCCTATTCTTCCATCTACTTCATTTTTTATTGATTCATAATTGATTACCACTTCATTTTTTCAATTCATTTTGATGAAACTGGTGGGTGCTGTGAAGGGCGCTCCTCCGTGTGTTCGTTTTGTAGGACCTTATGATTTCATCCGCTTTCAATCGGCCGACTGGTTCGTACTTTCCGGGTCAAATTGATGACCGACGATTATCTCTGCCAGTCCGACGTCAGAACCCCGACTCTGGACCGATTATTGCCCGCCACTTGCTGGCCGTCGATGTAACTTCATCCTAATCCGAAACATGATCAATTCCTTTTTGCTGCGCTAGCGGTGGAGATAAACATTATTATTATTATTATTATTATTATTATTATTATTATTATTATTATTATAAAGATAAGCATTATCTTTTTATGTAACAATTCTGTCCATTTGCTTTGCTAGTGGGATGAGCCTTTTTGCTATGATGTTCTAGAATTAACTTCTAGTTTAGTAATTTAGGTATGCTTGCTAGGTGGGCTACTAGTTCGATTAAATAACATTATCTTTTTTGCTTGTAGCGATCCGAATGAGTTTCACTCTTTAATTGGTTCGTGCTACTTGAGCATCAATGGCGGGGTGGATTAGCACTACCCTGCTTTTCTTTTATTTATTCGTTCATTGCTTCGACGAACCCTCTAGTCTTTTTGCCCGTTTGTTTTGCAGGAAATGACATGGATAAAGTCCTAGCTGGTACTTATCCTGAAGCTTTCTTGGCGGCTAGCTGTGTTTCATTTTTGCCTTTTGTTGGTTCATTTTGCAGGGAATGGCTGCTCTGCTTTTGATATCGGCAAGGATGATATATCCTCTGACTTCTATGGCTTTGACGCGTGTTGTGTACCCGCTTGTATCCTTTGTTTTATTTCTTAGGATACTGACAGAGCTGCCCATTTAGTGGCTAAAAAGGCTCTTTTATTGGCGGATTGAGTAGATATCGACCACCGCATTTGATTATTTCATTTACTACATATTTGTAAGCATACTGCATTGTACACCTACCGATGACATTATATACCAATCTATATGACAAAAAAAACTAAGTTGCATTAAATCTTGTTGATGCTGCTAATTAAAATGATTCAAACCATTTTCTAAGCCTCCTTGTACATATACATGAACAACATCAAAGCACACATATGAGGAGACCAAAAGCTCGATATCTTTTCCTTTTTGTGTCTATATATGTATGAGAGCCAATAACATTGTCAAGAAGCTTTTCAAGTCTGATCTTAAATGTGGTGTATGACTCAAAGTTTGCAACAATGAACTTCTCTGCATCTTTCACAAACAGAATGAAGGGGGGATTTATGCTCTCATTGTAAACCATCTGAATGAGAAGCAATGTAGGAAAGGAAAACTATACTACTGGTTGTGAAAGGAAGCAAGAATAAGAGGTGTTGCATAGACTAGCTTAGCCTAGAGTTCATTTTACTCAAAACCATGATCCTGGAAGCATATGAGCATCTTGATCCTTGCTAGGGTTATTCCTACCATATGTTGTGGCAATTACCAAGACTAGTAGGAAACGTTGGGGACCCTGAAAATGTTTTCTTTGAGGCAATCGATGTAGTTCCATCGATTGACGATCGATTGCTATGGACTGTTGTCTCTAGCCTCATCCACCAATGAAGTCAGGTTTCAGGATATATATTTTAAAGATAGTCCTTGAATTATGTAGGAAATCGAATCGACAATAAAACAAGCATAGAAATTAAACATAAGAAAGAGATGAAATCAAACTCAAATATATACTAAAATCAAAAGGTACCTAGTGAAAAAATCTTTATGGTTCGCCGACCTACGCAACTAAGGAACTAGCCACTCATGGAGGTAGGTTTCCGGAGAAACATAATTCAAAACGAGATCCCTAGAAGAACCTCAAAATCAGAGGCCATAATATAGAATTGACGGCTTGGCTACCGTTTCTGGCGCTGATTTACCCTTCAAGTTTGGCTTCGCTTTAAAATAGGTGAGGTACTATTGACAAATTAACAACCTTCTAATGCCTGCTATTACTAGCTACCAAACTTCTACCTCATAGGGGTCTATTTATAGGTCTTTGTATAAGATTTTATGAGAGGAAAGCTTGACCTTAAACAAGTATATCGAGTCCCTTCGAGTCTTTTACAACTTGGCCACCAGGTTTGGCATATACCTTGCGTATATGGACTTAATCTAAAGACTTCCAGAAATGGCAGCCTAGGTTTCATTTTGGGTTCTAGTTGACTACATTCCATGTTGTTTTCTCGACCTTGATTCAATCTCAAATTATGACTCCCAACAATTGAGCCTTGATGTGCCCCACTCGTATAAGATGGTCCACTAGGATACTTTGGCCTAAAAGTATATGAAACACTACAAAAAGTGCATCAAAATGATTAAAAAAAATCTAGAGCAGCTAAAACATACCATGAGTGATTATCAAACAAATACAAGTGATTATGGAACTAAAGATGTGAAAACCAAGCAAATCTAGCCATAACAACATGGTATAAAATAGTACATTCTATGTGTCATCAAATAATTTCACTCTTGAACGTTGCTTGTTCCAAAGCAAACACTACTCCTAATCATACAATTCAATGGATCACTAGAAAACCTCACTTGACCTCGACCTTAAGTAATGGATCATAAGTGAACTTACAAGGTAAAAAATAGCACGAGAGAACACTAACCACATCCACATGCATGAATAACATGACATTCAACAAAATCATAAACAACCATACATGAGTCTCAAACCACATAGGATGAAACTTTTGAAAAATGTTCTCGACAAATCTTTCCTTTTTTCCTTTTCATGTGTAGGGAGCTTTCAATTTAATATATCATTAGACTCTTATTATTTGAGCAAGAGCAATTTATGTATCTTTGCATTTGCAAAGTACTTCTTTCAACTCCTTTTTCCTTAATTCTTGTGGAGGGTTCATGAAATTACGGGGTGTCGGAACCTTTATCCGTGTCCTAAATAACACATCATCAAGTTGACAATCTATTCGTCAAGTGGAACTAGCATCTAATGGGAGCACCAAAATTCAACTGATATCTCTTCCAAAACCCATTTTGTGCAATGAATAGATGCCTCCCACATTGTGTTTACCCCACATTTTATTTCATAGCATTAAAATAAACGACATAGTTCACCCTATGGAAGAAGAAAACTTTGGAAAAGTGGAGACTCAATGCATAATTAGCAATCTATAATTAATAAAATAACATGGCATTCAAACCACATCAAAATGATCATAGTATCTCATTGACTATCACATCCTTCATAGTCATTACACTAGCCACCCTTGATCAAGTGAATTTCCTAGGTTCCAAAGCAGTCAAAATATACATCACAACACATATATATTTCCAACCAGCAATTATGGTCGACGAAAACGATTCGTCATAGAAATTTGAGAGATGTTGTTTAAGTACCCATAGTGCCCTCTTTTTCAAATAACGACAATGTCGTTTAATTAGTACCACAGTGTCCCTTTTTCAACGAACGGTAATGGTGTCACAAATTAGTATAAGAATAAATTGTTAGAAATTGAGACAAAGCTTGGTTAATGGAAACAAAAAATTAAACAAAATGGATGATCATACCCTGTATCCCCAGACTGAAACATGACTTACACACCAGTTCCACCAGACTTATGTTCATGACTATCTCTATGTGTACTTCTATTTATTACTAAACTCCTGTTGGAATTCAATTGACGCCGCCTATTGGTTCATCCCCTTCATCCCTTCCGATTAAAACTACATTCATCCCTTCACAATTAAACTACAACGATGGTACATACAGACGATTGGCCTATGATTTATTGAATTAAAGGGAGAAATCATAAGTATGAGGTTAATTGATGCAATGTACACTTGAATCAAAATTAATCGTCCTTCTATGTTATGTCCCTCTTTGAATCGGAGTTCATGAATCCAAACAAACGTCGAACGGATGTAAAACTGAAAAATTGAGAGAAATAAATGATTCGATTTATGAAAAATAGTACACTATAATCATTTATCTAGGACCACGAATCATCCTTTTTTATGAACAATCAATCAATCAATTAAATTTTTTGCAGAGATAATGATTCCCAAAATATTCTTAGTCATATTTGGTTCGGTTGCTCATTGACGGATTTGGTTCAGGTACCCGCCGCCAAATTTTGATCAGTCGCACTCCTTCGGATTTGCTTCAGTCGAACGCCGCTGGTGGAGAACTGGATAACTTGAAGAGGAGGGAGGAGAATCGCCTTAACCACTGACGACAGAGACCGTCGACTGAGCGTCGCTTGCTGCGGTCGGTATTTAGTTCTCGGTAAAATGTTGTTCGATTTTGGGAAAGTACCATTCCCATTTTTCTATTTCGACTCTTTTTTTAGTAAGGATAGATATATATTGGAGACGATTTTCACACATATATTTATTTAATTAAATTTGAATGTTATATATATTTTTTGGTTGGTGAATGGGAATATATAGGGTAAATATAATTTTTTTATGTTATCTTCCTAATAGCATCTAGTTCCTTAATGTAGGTATAACATCAATTGATAAATCCTGGATACAATTGAAGAATCGGGCATCTATGCAATGTATGGATGGAGTTAGTAAGTTCACAGAATACGCAAAGGACAATGTAAAACGAAGATGGTAAAGTTAGGTGTACTTGCACGGTTTGTTCCAACATCTGCAGATTGATGATTGGAGAGGTAGAGATGCATCTTCTTCGTAAAGGGTTACGAAGCGACTACACAAAGGGGATTTACCATGGGGAGGGAGATCAAAAAGATGAAGACGAAGATGAAGAAGATGATGAGATTGAAGATGGGAATGGTAACGGTGATGTCAATATGGACTTGAATGACATGCTCGGTGTTCTGAATAATCTCTTACCTCCACAAGTCGATCCTGAACCTTAAGAACCTAACGAGGAAGTCCAGAAGTTCTACAAAGTTTTTGGAGAAGCAAAATCACCGTTGTATGAAAGTTGTGATCCAAAGTTGTCGAGATTATCATGCATCGTCAAGTTTATGAACATGAAGCAGTTGAACAACTGAACTGATCATTCTTTTACCGAGTTGTTGAAATTCATTCAGAGCGCATTTCCTATGGCGGAGTCATTGTCAAAAAATTACTATGCAGCAAAGCATTTAATGTAGGGTCTTGGGCTACACTACGACGAAGTACATGCATGTGTGGATGACTGCGTCATATACGGCGATCTGGCCCATCATGCGAGAAGTCAAGGTACAAGAAAGTTTACGATGATAAGAAGGGAAGAGTGTAGAAAATTTCGTTCAAAGTTTTACGGTATTTTCCCATCAAGCCCGACTACAGAGATTATTCATGTCTTGTAAAACTGCCGAAGACATGGTTTGGCATTCTGGACACCGTTCTAAAGAAGGGACATTAAGGCATACTGTTGACTGTGAGGCTTGGAGTACTTTGGACAAGTACGATCCAACTTTTGGTGATGAATCCTGAAACATAAGGTTTGGACTAGCTACCAACGGATTCAACCCATTCGGTAATATGAAGAGAACGCAGAATACGTGGCCAGTTCTTCTATTCCCGTATAATCGCCCTCCCTTACTTTTTTCCACTTTTTGCGATGGAACTTTTTCCCATGACGACCAACGAACGTATTCCATCGTAACAAGTATTTTCCAATGAAAAAGGTACGCCAATCGTCTGGTCATGCCTGACTGTCTTTTTTACAGTGTCACCACATGTTATGATTAAGGAGGTTGTGAACCCTACTCCTGGATAAAAAGCAGGCTACGAACCCCACTCCTAGGTAATAAGGAGGTTATGAACCCTACTCCTGGGTAATAAGATCATGTTTAAGTACGTCGATGATCGTGGTGGTGTGCTAGTTAAGCTGAGCTCAGGGCCCCCTTTCATAAGAAGTCATAAGAATATCCATTTCAACGAAAATTGTTTATAAGTTACGTAAACATTTTCATGCACGAGCATCGCCTGAGCATTTGCACTCATGTTGGTTCAATTTTGTGTATTATGTCAAGAATGGAATTAGGATTAGGATAGACCCCAACGACCGCATTCAGGAATTATAGAAGCACATAAGCACGTATATGGATTCAGCGGTTCGTGACAAAGAGATATGGCTTTTATGAACTCCATGAGGAAGAAGTTTAATTCAGTACTTGATGAGACATGAGATTTGATGTCATTTTAAGATGGACTTTTATAAAGCAAATATTTCAAGGTTGTTCATGTTTTCAACATTTTTTTGGGGTAAAAACTGTGACGCTTAAGAGCGCATCTGCCTGGCACTTAAATTAAACGATTATGAGAAATGCGCATAGAGTCATACATGATCCAAAAATTAAGACTCGGATATGAGGTATCAATAACATGAACACCTAAGTTAAGCGAGTGACTCTTATTAGCTAAATAATCAGCCGCCTTATTACATTCCTAATAGATATGAGAGATTTGAAGCTCCCAGTTTTGGTGAGAGAGATCCTGAAATTCCGTCACAAGATTATAATACATCGTGCCTCCAAGGTTTTTGGTTGTCAGAGTACGATAAGCTACCATGGAGTCCAAGTTGAGAATTACCTTAGTGTGCCCTTGTTGACGTGCAAGTTTGATCCCAAGAATAGCTCCTTTGATTTCACCTCTTGTAATCGTGCAGGTTCCTAAGTATGCTACAAAAGCTCCCAAACACTTGCCTTGGTCCTTCCTTAATAGTCCTCCAGCCGATGCAACTAATTGTGGTTGGTTGACAGATCCATCAGAATTGATGACAAACCAACCTTGAGGTGGGTTACTCCAAGCTAGTTCCTATGCATAGATTTCTTAAGAATGGTAGTTTACTCGCTAAAACACAACTCCTAAAAATGGTCGAGTGTAACCAATGAAAGAGACAGAAGTATAGCAGCACAAGTAATAAATATCGAATCCACGAGTCTCTAGATTTACTATTACTCAGCTTCAGTTCAATATCTAGCAAACAAGATTAAGATAGAAGAACTATAACTACTCTAGCAAACTACAGTTAATGTTAATCTGATTATAGGTTGGGAAGTCACTTAGGTATGATTCCCCTTAGATTGCAATTAGGCCAAGTTGTAATTCACCCAATTCAATTCAGCTGACATTTACACTATGAAAAGTTCTTGACCAAACTAGAATATCGACTACAGAATTCTAGACCCTCTCAGTTCGAATACCCGGTGGGCGACTGACTCACTCCTACTGTCACTCTAGAAAATGGCCAAGTGCAACCACTTCCTAAAGCGTAGTATAGCGGGTTTGAGTTTTAATGTCAACCCGGGTCCTAGATGTAATGACTACTCAGTGAATCCTTATTATTTAGCAGTGAAACTTTAGTGTAGGTTCAAACAAGCAAACAAGAAAGCAATTAAACGGTTGTTTTCAAGTCGAGAGAGGTCACCCAGATATGGTTCCCCCTAGACTGTAGTTAAGCCGGATTGCAATTTACCAAGTTCAGTTTTAATGATAGTTATACTGCAGGAGGTCCTTAAGCAGTCTGAAGTCTCGACTAAAGGTCTCCAGACCCTCTCAATCTGAGTCCCCAGCGGGCGACTAACCTCCACCGGAGTAAATAGATTGAGGCCCTAACGAACCAAACCTCCACTACCGAAGTAAATTCGGTACAGAATAGTGAATTGGCTCCTCGACTAAAGTCGCCAATTCACTACCTTCAATTAAGGGTGCTCTATCAACCTAGGCAGATATTCTCTTTCTAGGTTAAAGCAGAAACAATAGGAATTTGATCAGGATTCATGACATTCAATAAATCAAACCTCAATTGAATATAATCAAATCATAGAATCTGTACTTGGGTTCATACAATCAGACCTAACATACAAATCTAGAGTTCTTCATACTCAGGTGAATAAGAAAACTACTCCATAGAGAGAGAGGGAAAATCTAGCTCAGATGCGGAAACCATACTATGAAGGATGATAATCTGCTTCTGGCGCTCAATCGGATCTTCTCCAAGCTCAAGCCGGGCTCCCGTGGTGATGGAGATCGATCAAAGACACTTGAAGACTCAGTTTCGTCACTTTCTCTCTCTAAGTATCGCTCTGTCTCTCTAAAACTCGGAACCCCTTCTCCTTTGGCTCAAATCTGCCTAAAAAGGGCGACCCTGGGCAAAACACGATCGAGGGCACAACCGTGCTGTGCTTTTGCCCGCCCGTGCCCTTGCCACGTGTTAAAAACACGCCCCCGGTCGTCCCTTCAGTTGGACACGGTCGTTTTTTTAGTCACTCCCGCCCGTGTTTTGGGCCATCGCAGGAACATCTTAGATCAAGCCTCGGCAGTAAAAACACGGTCCAGGAACACGGCCATGATTTGGTTTAGGCCAGCCCGTGCTTTGGCCCCAGCTCGACCGAATGACTTCCAAATGCCCCGAAACTCGTGCTTAGCCTTTCATTCGACGTCTGGGACCTGAAATATGACAAAGTAGCACAACCCGGCGTAAAATAGGCCAAAAATACACGACTATTCCCCGCAAACTGATAAGAACTAGGGGTGCAAACATGTCAATTACATAGTTATCAGTGACTAACCTCCACCGGCGTAATCTAACTAAGGCAAAATACCACTACTAGATTCAGTTTTACTTGACTCGCTAAAACACAACACCAAACTACAACCAAGTATAATCGTAGAATGGAAATGCATAATAGTGGTTCAGTTTTACTTATCAACCCAGGCCTAGGTGTACTGTCTACTCCGTGAATTTGTATTGTTTAGCGGTTGAAATGTAGTGAAGTGTTCAAAGCAAATTAAACAGAAAGCAAGAAGTTGTTCTAGTTTTCAAGTTCGAGAAGGAACCACTCAGGCAATGATTCCCCCTAGTATGCACTTAGGTCGAGTTGTAATTCACCCAGTCCAATTCAATTCAGATTTATACTGCGGAAGATCCGGACCTAACTTGTAATCTCTTACGATGACCAAACTCTCTTAGACACAATAACCGACAGGCGACTAGCCTTCACCAAGATAAGGTGCTAAGACAATAAATTCCAGTACAAAACAATGAATAGATCGACTCTCGCACATACGATTCACCACTTCCAAATCACAAAGTTCCTCCTCGTTACAAACAAATTGCCATCCTAACTTCATCAAGTATGCGAGGTTAAGAGCTCTAGTTGATCTAAGCCCAAGGCCGCCTTCTTCCTTTGGCTTGCAGATTGTATCCCACTTCACTGGATGAGTTTTCTGCTTACCCGCTTCAGCTCCCCAGACAAAAGAGTGAATCTTTTTATCTATCAAATCACAAATAGACAAAGGTAAGATCAGCATTGTTTAATGTGTAATCATTCCGCTATTGTTCAAAGCATTTTAATATTCATAATTTTCAAGGGTAATTTGGTTAAAGTAGTTCCCGGTCGATCCAGGGTGTTACGGTTTGGGCCAATTTAAAATATTAACAAAATAAATAAATAAATATATATATTGAAAGAGACCTCTTACCGTTACCGAGGCCCATTGCTGGCTGTTCGGCGCTTTCGGCCTTCCCCAGTGGTGTTTGGACTTTGGACACGACACAGTGACAGAAAGGAAACACAGTCCACAACCCTCGGCAATAAAGGCAGCCAAAAGCGCGGGACTCGGCGGCGGCCAACATCTGTATTTTACAGCCAAGCTAAAGCATCATCTTCCTTCCCACTTCCCAGTCAATTTCCCTCTCAACTGCCGAGCCCATGGAGAATTCTTCTCCTTCTTCTTCTCCTCCTCCTTATTCCCCTACGCTTTCTAGTTCAAGTTCTGGTGCTTCCAAGTTCCTCTCCAACCTCCCCTCTCGTGGCTTTTTGTCTTCAACTGTTCTCTCCTCCAATCCGGTTAGTCTCTTCTCCTTTGCCGCTTTAACCCTAATTCCTTTTTGCATTTCCTGTTCTGCAACAGTGGCCTTATGCTGCCCATTTATTTTCTCTGTGATCCATTCATGAGGGTATGTGGAAGGGTTTAGAGTGACCGGATGGTTTGCAAGTTTGTGTCTTTATACAATTCAACTTAATGTCTTTGGGTCAAGTAAGCTACTATTTTGTTCCTTTGGAACAGCAGAATTTACTTTCTTTTCTCCTAATTGATTTTTTTCGCACCAGGAGGCTTTTAGGGTTCCCCAGCTATTTTCAGTATTTTGCCCATCTCCTAAGACTAAGATCCGTATTGGCATATGCTTATGGAGGATTATTGCTAGAACGGAGTATGTCTAGGTTGAGCACTATAGAATTTGCGATTACCAGTTGTCATGACAAGTTCACATTAGCGAGTTCATCCCTATAGGCTCGTGGACTGTGTTTCTATTTGATTTTGGATCTGTCTTTTTTCATTTTTGCTTCAAACCGATGCAGGTATGCTTGCAAATGATTGTAATCTCAGCGTAGTTTTGCAGTCTTAACAGAAGCAGTTTTACTGCACGTTGGAGCCTTTCAATTTTTATTAGGGATATGGTTTATGGTTATCACAGATGGTGTTATCTCCCTTGTCAAGTAGGCCTTGTAACTGAAATTAAGAATACTGGTTTGAGAGCTTGTCTTCCCGTTGTCTTAGTTTAATTTAAGGCAGAGAGAATTAAGGGTAATGGTTTCAAAATGTTAGTTGCTCACCATAGAGATGGTGGTTCAGTGAATGTTTGGGCTTTCGGTGGTTTTGAATGGTAGAGAAGGTTTCGACGAATCCCTTGCTCTTGCTAAGTTGACTGGTTTGGATCATTATTTTTTTCGCTATCTTGGCACTGATACATGTAAATATATTGTGCTCCCGTCACTGTGGTTTGTGAATATGGAGCTTCCTCATAAGCATGATAGAGCTCTGCTGGGTTACCATGTCTAAACGCTTCTGAACATTAATATTGAGATTGTGATTATGGTATTGTGTGTCGTACTTAAGATCATTTTTTTATTGTTGGGTTAATACCCTAGTTTGGCCCGAAGTTTAGCATAAGTGACAGTTTTGGCTCCATTTTTCTTATAAGACATTTACAGCCTACTTTTGAAATTATTAGACAGATTTGGCCCGAAACTTATATTGATCGTTAATATTAACGGTCAAATACTTATTCCGTTAGTGACTCAGCAAAAAACTGCTGATGTGGTTTATGTAAGGTGACATGTCATTAAATAATAATAAATTTTTAATTTTGTCCACCAATTAATAATAAAAAATAAAAACCCAAAATCCCCAAACCTCCGACCCTCATATCTTCCTCCCGCCGCCTCCGTCCCGACTGGTTCATCCCCTTCTTCCTCTCCTCTAGCGTAAGCAACCGGAGGCTGAATCATCGCCCCCCAGAAACGAAGAGACTCCGAAGTCTGAAGCATCCGCCGCCGTCGTTGCAGAATCGGGGCTCTAAACCACCAGCCAGACTGAGTACGAAGAGACTCTTAACCACCATTCTTCCTCTCCACCGGCGAAGCAACCGAAGCAAGAACCAATACTGGCCATGGCGGATCAGACGGAATCTCGAGAAGGAAGCTCGTCAGGGGAAGTCACCACCAGATCTAGATTCTTTTTTCCCCTCGGTAATTAGATATGGATTCTTTCAATCCTGGGTGGGCGGGTGTAACGAATGCCTACAGCTCTCCTCTCCTTGCCCAGGGGCGCATGCGCATCTACCGGCGACATTTGGCTGGCGCTCTCTCACTCGAGCTCTTAGTCTCGCCGGCGGTTCCGCTGTGTGCTATGTATATTGATCCTGCAAAAAATAGAAATTTCGTTAGAAGAGGCGGGGTTCCCAAAGGGGTGGTACATCAACGACAGCTGATGAGAATAGTTTCTCTTTGTTATCGACGGCGGCGGGTGGAGGAAGCGGCGAAGGGGAGAGAGGGATCGTTGTGGAGAAGCTGGATCCGGTCATGGATGATGACTTTGTGGGTCGGAACCGCCGTCGGGGTGGCAGGGGAGGATCGACCGTTTACTCCACCTGGAGTCTGGAGCTTCGATTTTGTTCTCGGCGGAGCACATCGCAGCCTTCGGATGATGTAGCGGAGGGACTGGAGATGGAGAAGCATGGTGATTTTTTTTGAATTCGAGAAGAATGAAGTGGATTTAGACCGAAACAGAGAGGAGGAAGTGGAGCGGATCCATCTTTGGGGATGTTAGGATTTTAGGGTTTGAATTTGGGGATTTTGGGTTCATAAGAGGATTTTTATTTTAATTGAAATATAAAATTAAAATAATGTTTTAATGACGTGGCATGCCACATCAGTGGTTTTTTGCTGAATCACTAACAGAATAGTGTTTGACCGTTAATATTAACGGTCAAAGAAAATTTTAGGCCAAATTTGTCAAATAGTTTCAAAAGTAGGCCATAAATGTCTTATTTGAAAAATGGGGCTAGAACTGTCACTAACGCTAAACTTCGGGCCAAACTAGGGTATTAACCCTTTATTGTTCACTTGTGAATTATTTCACCATGAAGGTAGCCTCTAAATGCTAGAGTTCACATATAGGGTGTCACCACTAACTAATCTGGAGGTCTTAGACACAGGTTCAGATGACTGACTATGGTCTTGGACATGGGGAAAATGCCTTTTAGGTGGTGGAAGTATTCATGGCACAAGGTTCCATAATTTCAAACCCAACACACTCGCAGTCAATCAAACCACTCTTTCTTTCTGTCATTCTGCATTATTTACATTCTTTAGAGCACAAGAGCGAAGAAAGTCACATAAATCTTAGTAGTTCCAAGCCACACTGCTAAGAAACACTACTCAATGGGCGCTATTCAGATTTTGTGGTGGCGGCTCTCTTTTGTTTTCATTCACTTTTTTTTTTCATTTCTTAAGAGAACCACCACCTATGCACATTTTGCAAACACATGCACTTTTTATTTTTTTCAAGAACTACCTCCAACTCTCACATTATATTTAGCAGAAACAGCAGAGAACATGGAGATCTCACTCTGTGGAACTTTCTAAAAGATGCAAAAGGGTGATTTTCCATTGTAAACCGAAAGAAAGGATAACACACGGCTCAAAGGGCTGACTCGGGGGTATGACATATCAGGACAGTCAATTTGGTCGTGGGCTAATCCTATGCCTCCATCATCTTAGTTTAATTTAAGACAGAGAATTAAGGGTAATGGTTTCAAAATGTTAGTTGCTCACCATAGAGATGGTGGTTCAGTGAATATCTGGGCTTTCGGTGGTTTTGAATGGTAGAGAAGGTTTCGACGAATGCCTTGCTCTTGCTAAGTTGACTGGTTTGGATCATTATTTTTTTCGCTATCTTGGCACTGATACATGTAAATATATTGTGCTCCCGTCACTGTGGTTTGTGAATATGGAGCTTCCTCATAAGCATGATAGAGCTGCTGGGTTACCATGTCTAAACGCTTCTGAACATTAATATTGAGATTGTGATTATGGTATTGTGTGTCGTACTTAAGATCATTTTTTGTTTCACTGTAAGTTATTGTTCACTTGTTGCGAATTATTGCACAGGGTGGAATTCGAGTTTATATTTGCGAGCATGAGACACTACCTCCAGGTCTGTTTATTATCTGTGCTTTCGAATGATTCTGCTGTGATCTCTGTACTATTGCTTAAATGATGTAGATAGAACCAGTTTAGGAGTACTTCTATGTCATTAAGTTAATGGGATTCAGAGTAAGACAAGATGTTTATTTATGTGAACCTGGGCCGTGATGATTTTTTGCTTGCTGATAAATGTTCTCCTGTCATCCATGATAAACAAAACTGCTAATGCTATATTATTGTGAATATGAAGAGGCTAACTTTCCTTAATCTTACATCAGAGGACCAGCTGATACACACGAACCAGACAAACATATTGATTAGATCACTCCAGCTTAAGAAACAGAAGGGTGAACCTGGTCCAAAAGATGCAAACGGATCAAATGCAGCCGAGGGTTCCAGGAAGAGGTATTTCCTTACATGTTTCATGAAAGAGAGCTATATCGGCATAATCTGCTTGTCTTTGATTTCAATAGAATTTTACTTTCAAGTTCACTAACACCTAATAGTAAGTTGTTATCTGCTACCTGATTATTCGTGCCGCTAATGAATCACATTAGTTTCTGATGTGCAATGCTTTCCTTTTTTCCAGGGCCTCGGAAAAAGTTATGGATGGGAGGGCGTCGGCTAAGAGAAGCAACAACCAAAATGGTCCTGGTGAGAGCTCCATTTTCTTGGTTTATCAGAGATCCTGCGAGCTTGGTGTTTTTGACATTTGGTTCTTTGCCTAAATGCTTGATGCATAATCATTTTGTCTGTATCAATGATCCTTCTCTTTGGGGTTTGCAGAGGGGTCTGGAAGTCGGACGTCTGACAAGGATTTGTACAGTTTGACAGTAGAGAGGCTCCGTGTTCTGCTAAAGGAGAGAGGCCTTTCACCAAAAGGGAAGAAGGTAAGACAATCCTTCTGTTGGTTGTTGTTCTCGGCGCAATTGTTGCTGCGTCCATGAGCCTTTTTACTTTACAAGGGCATTTCGTTGGGATCTTTTGCAGTCATTCGAAGAATTGAATTTCTTGAAATTTTTGCAGGATGAACTGGTTGCCAGATTGAGAAGTGCCAACGGGTAACTGTACAATAGAGGTAGGCAGTGCAATATTCGGGAGCGCTGGCATGGCAGGAAAACGAGTAGGCAATTTTTGGTGTGTAAAGTGGCAGATGGTACTTGTAGGGAGGGGGTTAAAGAGAAGGAAGACGAAACAGAAAACAAGTACCGTAGGTTATGATTGTGATTGTCGCTGCTGCGGCATTGTCTACTGTATGTACCATAGTTTGGGTGTTTCTTGAAATTTCCTTTTGGTGTCCCTTTGAATACTGGCTACCCAATTTTAGAACAAGTATACTCTAAAATTGCTGTAGTATTGGTGACTAAGGTCTTTGAATTTATTGCTATTTCGTTGCTTGGTCACTATTTAATTGATCAATTGTTTGTTCAATTAACACTTGATGAGGAACCAAGTTATAAAACTCGGTTGTCAACTACAATATCGACTCCAATCTGGGCCAAGTATAACTTGAATTTGTAAAGTAGTATAGGGTAGACCCTCGAGGTTGTATTCTAATAGGCACCTTAGGTTAACTAAGAAAGAAAGAACAACCAACTAACTTGTTGGGAGGTTGGTAAAGATGAGATAGTTGCTTAAGATCGAATCCTTATAGTAGTAGGATAGGTGTATGATTGATGCAAGCCCTACCCCGACTTACATGACTTCTAAGTTGCGAGAAATCATCTAATCTAGTGATTGTTGCGATGGTCACGACTTAACCACACTTCTAGGCCTCTAAACTAGCTCAATGGTCTTGTAACTAGCTAGACACCTATAGCTCAATTAGGATTTTTCCTTTACAAATGGAATTTCGACTCGATAGTCACGTAATACATATCCCACAATGATTTATGTGTGTTCTAATCCTAACCTAGGGTAACGGTCATCACAACCTAGGTCAAGATTATGCACTAATTACCTCTATTGAAGCAAGTTAATGACATAATTAAACTTAAAACAAGCATAAATAGATAAAAATTAGGGCTAGGTTCAAATTAAAAAAAAAAACAATAATAATTACATACCTGAATTCATTTCCCCAAAACAACATAGAGGTTCAACTCATAGAGAGAAATGGAGTTTATAGATGTTTCTGGTGCACATCACGACCGTAAGGCATAAATTGAGGGTTGGCCGTGACATTTGACAAAACAAGAAGTAGAAAGTATGTCACGGCCACGTCATGACTTTGCATCGAGATCGCGGTCTCTATCTCTGTGTTCACAGTCGAGATGCCAAAGTCACAGACGTGATCTTTCTTGCCGGTAGAATCCTTTTGGTTCGCTAGCCGGCTGGTGAAACTTTCTGTTCATTTTTGCTTCGGAGGGCATGCACGCCCAAGGGGTCACGACCATGACTTGTCTAAGGTCTCATTTTCTTGCTTCTATGTATTACAAACGTGCCCGGATGATCCCCGAATCGATTTGAAATCAAATTATGGCTAATACAAGACCTATCATATCATCAAAAACACCAAGCAAGCATAAAATACGACAAAATGAGGCAGTTCCCCACGATGAACCTTCAAAGCAATCTAACTCATGTTAAAACTCATAATGTATGTATAGGAACACATTATCATAACCTATCTTGCAATATGGTCTAGACACTGTGATTTAGCACCCAAATGCCTAGATAAACACTACAACAATCTTCTCATATAACTATGAAATATGTTGTAGCTAAAGTATGGAAATTTTGCAGCTAAACATTTTAGTTACGAAAAATTTAGTTTGTAACTTTGCGTAGCTAAAAGTGGCACAATAAAAGGTTAGCTACTCATTTGTATACTTGTATAGCTGATATTCAAAACATTTAGCGGCAAACAAAATATATTGTAGCCAAAAGCTAAGATACTATTGCTACATAAGTGTAAGAGGCAATATATGGTTGTATCTAACCATTAGCTATGAAGTAATAAGTGAAAACGATTTAGAATAAAGTTAATTACAATTTATGGATGTATCTAACCATATGCTTTGATTTCAATTTGGGTATGATTATGGATTTATGATTTTTGCATTTTGCTTAGATTATAATGTTTGGTTTTATAATGTGTAATGAATGGATTAAAATGGTTTCAAAGCTTCAAATTCCAATGATATATTTGTTACCGGCGCAGAGCTAGGATTTGACGATCAGGGGATGGAATTAGCCAGTACATTATCGTCAAAAGTGAAAAAATGATAAGAAAAATAGTAAAAAAAATTTATTATTCATTAATATAATAATATGGACGTTATTTGATATTAAAAAGTCACTCAAAGTAGAATCTAAAATAAATTTTATAAATATCATGTTTAAGAAATTAGTCTAAGTACAAAATTAAATAATTAATCATATAATCAAGAGAGTAATTACAAATATAAATTAAATTTACTTAATTGACCTATAATTTAAATTTAAAGAACTTAATCGACCTATATATATGATAATTAAATTATTAAATTACTCTTTATTCAAATTAAACTGCCATGCTCTAAAACGTAAAGATGTAGAAAAAGGAGATGTACACGGTGCGAACCCGGCCACTCCATCAAACAGGCGAAAATCTTTCCGCTGAGCCACCCATACAGTAATGTAACAAATTTGCACACGCGTTTACTTATACTATATTTGGTTTATACGTAAATTTTCAGACTCCTATCTAACTTAATACCTGATTTCAGAAATTTGGGGGGGGGGGGGGGGGGGGGGGGTGGGGGGGCATTGGCGTCCAAAGACCAACGTAGCTCTGTCCCTGATTTGTTATTTGACTATAGATAAATGTAGTATTATATCTACATATAGTCCACATTAAAAAGACATAGTCTTGAGTAGGGGTGGAAATTGGGGTGGGTGTGGTTACCCGCCCCACATTTTGCGGGTAACCACACCCACAAATATAGTATTATGCTACTCACAACCCGCCCCACTGTGGGTAGTGGTTAACCACTATCCGCTGCGGGTTGGTTGTAGATACCCACAAAAATTTCATCATTAAATAAAATAATATGGTAATTAAATAGTGAAGTTGTGTTTCTTCTCGCACAAAAAAAAAACATACATAAAAGAAAGTTAATAAAGTGTTAAATAAATTATAAATCTTGAATACAAGAGATTTGTTAGTGTAAATTCAGAAGAGATGGATTTGGAAAAAGAACATCGTTGCATGTCACGACTCCTTCGATGGCAACAACAACAAAACACAAAAGTGGCTCGATAAGTGGAGGCACCCGCTTTTAATGAATCACTTATTCTCCACTCTCGATTATATCTTGTATTCTTGGTAGTTAGTTGCATGTTGTGTTGTTGGTGAGTTCGTGGAAAAATGGAGACGAGTTTTGCTATCGAACTAACATTTATTGATTATTTCCCTTCTAACGAATCGATTAATTTATCTGACTATATCTATGGACTTGGTTTTCTTACAAAATAAACATATACCACACAGACAATGCTTATTTGATAAAAGTATCCCACACGAACATTGTGTATTGACTTGGTTTTGTTTTATAGAATAAGTACGTATTTGATTTAGTAGATACCTAAATTCTTAGTCTTCCAAGTTTCACAAACTAATATACCTAATGTGGATAATGTGGGTTTTGTGGGTAAACCGTTGGGGGTAGTGGTTAACCACTAACCACAAAAATCAATATTTTGCTACCCACACCCAACCCACTATCCACAAATTGTGGGTATGGGTATCCACAAAGTGTGCGGTTTGGAGCGGTTTGCGGGTTACCCGCAACCCACAAACCAAACTTCCACCACTAGTCTTGAGCCCATCAGCTTGCCATCTTACCATTTACCAGCCCACATGAGAGATTCATATTGCCTTTCGAAGTGAACTAAGGGGTCGTTTGGAAGTTGTGAATGTTAAATCGTTGCATTGTAATGAATCACCATAATATAAATGCATATATTGATACAATGGATACATTTTAACAATACATTGTTTGGTTGTTGAAATTCTACTTTATGCATTGATTTACATAAAGTTACTTTTATGGGGAAATGTCACATTTATCCTCAACTTTTAGAATAAGACAAAAAACTATTGTGGATATAAATGGAAAGAAAAGGTTGACACAAATCTAAAACCAACAATCTCAACTTTTAGTTGAGATTGTATAATGCATCATTTTTTGTAATTGTTGGTGGGACCTACCTAAAACAATGCATGCATTGTTTAACACTTTGGCACTTCCAAACATTGTATTGTACACAATACATGTATTCAACAAACACAACTCTAACAATCACAACTTCCAAACGAACCCTAAGTTTATTTCGGCTTTTGACTGACCGAACTAACAGACAGTTTGACATGGAATCAAGTGTTGTTTTCTACCTTGTATATTTCTGTTTAATTCAGTTTTAGTTCAATTTTGACGAAATGCCCACCCCTAGCATGACCCAAGCTGTGATGAGCCTCTGCTCAAACTAATGTACACTTTCACAGTATAAGGTCAAGGTTGGATGCAAATCCAGATCCTTCCCACGTTCCTCATATGCATTGTTCACAACTTCTATCAAGTTGTAGCGCATGTTGTGACACCTCTCTCTCCTTTTTGAGATTCGAAATGTGACCATTGAGCCTCAAATCAATTACCAATTAATCCATGATACAGCTTTGTCCTAAAATAGCATTAACAAACACAATCTAGTGTAAAATATGGCAAAATATAAGGTCTTGCCTAATGAGAACGAAAAAGAACTACAAATGGAAGGGTCTAAACATGTATAAAAAATGATGTTATTACTTGCTTAGTCAAACTGACTGAAAACATTGAGCATCTTTTTTTCCAACCATTTAGTTTAATATTAATGATATTTTTATGGTTGAGTCCCCCACCACTTCTTGCTAACACAACCATTTGTTCCTCTTCTCCTTCTCCATATCAACTATGATGTGGTTGCTCGAACTTTAATTCGTTGTGCCTCCAACTTGGTGGTCAAGGAAACTACTAAGGGACTTTTCTCTGGCATGGGCATCCGTCAGGTGCCTGTGGACCCTTATCTTGTAAATTATCACCGCCAATGGTAAATGCATACTTATTGTGTCTTCTGTCGACTGCGATGTTGAGTTTTTTCTAGTCCCTCAGTTTAACAATCGACATACCCATAAAGTTTCATGAAATATCCTTTGCCTATCATGGGAGCCGCACATCCTGCCCTAACTATTGATAATTTGGTTGTCCCTATTTGGTTGCGATTATCAAATTTGCCAACTGAGTTTATTTCGAATGAGGGATTATAGCATATTGCAAACTCTTTTGGTAGACCTCTTTATACGGATTGTCATACAATGCATGGGACGAGAGTGAGAGTGGCTAAGGCTGGCTCGCTCTTACTACAACTTCTCAATCGAAAGCCAAGTATAACCAACAACCGGGTGTAGCATATGGTAAGCAAGTAATTAAATTGTCAAACCATTGGTCTCTAGATATAACCTTACTTTGGCTTAAGTTTTGTTATCTAGACAACCTCAAATAGTGATTAAGAAGAAATTAACTAAACTAACCTAACCACTATCCTAGCTAATTACAAGTTGGGAGCTCTCTTAACTTCAATCCCCCTAGTTCCGTAATTTGGATCGATGTTGAGCACTATCCTAGATTGTTTGACTTGATATCTCTGCTGCAGAGAATACTAGACTAGGTTGGACCCCCTATTCGAGTGCATCCAACCTTGTTCAATTGCGCTACCCAAAGTGGCTTACCGAACAACTGGAAAAGGCAATTAAGGTGCTAACCGGTAATTCCCACGATTGGACAAACCCTACTCGACACTACCCAATACGAAACTATGGTTCTTATTGCTTTCGCATCAAAGACTCGTATTACTGGATTTAAGGTTCTCTATTCAACCAAGGGGGATATACTCTAAATCTTATATCATTAGGAGATCAATTGAATTTCACTCCCTCAGAGATTAACCCGGTACGACATAGATTGAGGAGTGACCCTAATTGCCAAGAATGGGTCAAAAGGGGATTTTCTTCCTACTAGGTCAAAAGCTCAAATGACATGAAATGGAATAAAAACACTCATGAAATTCATAATAACAATCCATCATATAGATAATAAGAGTAATCAAACATAGGACTTGTCACATACATCAACATCAAACCAAAATCTAGACCAAAGGTTAATCAACCTAAGAGAAGAGGTCTAATTCATAGAGAACAGGAAAGAGAATATAGTATAAGCTTAGATTCTTCATTCTTCATCTTCTAGAGGATGTTATTCAAGGTTCAATGGTGATTTGATCCTCCAAAATAGCTCCTAAAACCGCCCTAGGTCACTCACTCTCTCTCTCTAGAATTGCCCCTTGGGTGTTTTGGGGTTAAAAACCCAGCCCCCTTTGCTCAAAACCCGTTGCTATCAATTTATACTCATAGCAGTGCAAGGATCACAGTTTTGTTGTTAACGTCACGACTTTGAAGTGTGCAAAGAGTGGTCTCAGAACAAAAACA